TCTTCTCATATATCTCCACAGATTTTGCTTTCAAAGTAGCATAATGGAGGCATGGAGAGCCAGCATGATGTACTGGCTTGAGTGTTGGACTCTGAGCTCCGGGTTTGATTCCCAGCTCAACCATGAAAACCTACTGGGTAACTTTGGGCAAGTCACACTCTCTCAGCTTCAGGGGAAGGCAATGGCAAACATCCTCTGAACAAATCTTGCCAAGAAAACCCCACCATAGGTTTGCCTTAGTTGGTAATGACTTGAAGGCACACAGCAACAACAATATTGGAGGCAAGGATGTTATAGGAGAGCTTAGAAGGGACTTTTGCATTCATTTAATAAGATCTTATACATTTTCCCTTTCGGTTTGTTTATTTATTTGCTTTATATTAAAAAAAAACTTTTTTATTAATAGTTTTCTACCATTTCTTTTACTATTTTGCCATTGATTTTACAGTAGTTGGATTTTTCATCCTTCAGTTCATTGTTGTTATTATTTTAATACAATGCATTCTGTGTTCCCGCTGTTTTGAAATAAAAAAATATGTGCCGGTTAGTAGTAAAATCAATAATGACCCACCTGCCAATGTTGAGCACCTTAAAAATAGTACTAGCTGCCTTGCTATGTGTCCACACTGCAATCTCTAAACAATGTGCAATTTGTCCACACCCCAGAAAACTCCTGAGAATGTGAAGATGTTTATCTTCATGTTATAAAATGCTTCACCTGCTGTTTTCTTCCCATCAAGCTATTGCTGCAGTCACAAGAACAGAATACGGTTGGATGTTGTTGGTTTTTTTGCTTTCTCCAGATTGTTTGGCCACATTCTGTGGTTGGAAATTTCCAGGTAGGGCCCTCCTGTGCATGCTTTCTTTTGTTGGCAAATGCCTGTTTGATCCTGTAAAAATAGTAACAGCAGCAACAACAAAGCCCATAAGAACAACTGGCTGGGCTCCAAGGCATGGAGATGCATTGATGGGTAGAATCATATTTGCTCAGTTTCTCCTTGTTGGGAAAAATAGCTTTGCCATTTAAAATGAGTAAATGGGGAATAAAGAATCTGGTATTGCAAAGTTTAGCCAAGCTGTGACATGGAAGCTCTCCAAACCACCATTCCAGCTAAAACAACTTCTTGATAAGGCACTCCTATTTTCTATTGTTCTTTTTTTATTTCGTGCTGCAAAAGCCTATGCTAGTTCATTTTCATTATGCTGTTTAACCCGAGTAAAAGAAGATGCAAAGAAACCAAGGGGTTTATGCTTACCTTTCTTTTGCAAGTCTCTCATTCCACCTGTACAGATGTTAGTTCCAATCTGCAGCAAGAACAGCATGTAATCTACTCAAATGATCCATGTTAAAATGGGAGCCGAGTTAACTTTACTTGGGAGCTTATCGCACGAGGCCAGTATAGCAGAATTGCATTTGCATAATAGTAATCTCTGCTTGGCTTACCGCATGAAGGAGATTATCGCACAAAGCTTCCCTCCCAATGCTGTTGCAGCTTTTTAAACAGCAACAATTCTTTTCACATTACCATGCAACTGCAAACTGATAACAGGTTGGTGATGCCTCTTATTGCACTACCGTTCCGTTTACTCTTTAGCTATCTGAGATTAAGTAAGTAAAGTAGTCTTGCCTTCATTGGGAGTGGGATGTGTGCAGTGAAACCCCTTTTTTTCTGCCCAAGATGACATGGTTGTCTCCGCAGGAGAAAGATGACTTGCTTTCATTGGGAATGGGGGGGGGTGCAATGAAATTGGTTTAAATCCCATTCTCTCTGAATTAGCCCTGAATGACCTATGGCACATACTTCAATAAGGGGGTAACTGTGCGATTGACAGCTATTCATAAGATTTTCCCATTCAATCAAAGCAGCAGCAGAAGCACGGATTGACTACAGGATACCTACTGCCTAGCCACGATGTAGTATGGTAAGATCCTGCAATTACAGTTACAATCCTGCTTCCATCCTGCTAGTTAAGAACAGTGCAATAATCTTTGACATCATTGCTGTTCTGTTCTTGTTGCATTGGAGATCATTTTAAAAGCAATTCTTTTTGCTATCAAAAAATGACCTTCTTTCCCACTTATTTCATCCTGTGATGCAAAACTTCAGTTGAGCTTTGACAGGAAGCCCTACTTATCTAATGGTTTATGGGACCTCACCTATATCTGAAGCTGGAATTGGTCAAAATGCAGAACCCCATTTAATTTTTGGCCACTCCAAGTCCTCCCTAGCAATAGCACAGGAGGAGGAGGGATGCTGGGGATTGGAGCCAGCATATGTGCTGCTGCAATGGGGCTATACTCTCCCACTCCACGGATCCCAAATAGACTGCCTTCTCTTCCCATGTGCCTTCCAGAGCCATGGGAGCATCCATCAGGGAAGAAATTCAAAGGAAGGACCCTCCATTCCACCCATATATAGCACTTCTGTCTTCCTGGCCAGCTCTCTGCCTTAGGCAGGTATTGCGCATGTGTACCCTCTAGCCCCCATTCGCACACCAAGGAAGTTAATTCAATGCAGAGAGTGCGAATTAGGACTTATAGCACTATCTGATGCTCCAAACCCTTAATGATGATGCAAGTGCAGTAGTAAAGACAGCAATCCCATTTGAACTGTGTTTTTTAAAAAACAGACTTGTAGTGGGAGAGGAGGCTCATGCCATAAGGCCTTTGGTGGGACAAGAAGCCTGGAAACATGTGTGCATGTTATAAACACCAATTCTGTGATGGTTGCATCTGGTATGCTTTATCTTTTTGATTACAGTCATGTAGGAAACTCATGTTTTGATTTTTTTTGGAGATTCCACCTCAACATTAGGAAGAACTTCCTGAGAGTAAGGGCTGTTTGACAGTGGAAGACGTTCCCTTGGAGAGTGATGGAGTCTCTTTCTTTGGAGGTTTTTAAACAGAGGCTGTATGGCCATCTCTTGGGGATGTTTTGTTGTGTCTTCCTGCATGGCAGAAGGGGGTTGGACTGGATGTCCTTGGGGTCTTTTCCAACTCTATGATTCTATGGAAGAGATCTGGAGACTCTGAAGTACAGGGCTGACTCAAGCTATATTGCCACTCAAGATATATTGTCATTTTGTCCTCAGACCTGTTGTAATAGAAATTCCCTGCTGTTCCCTGGCTTTTAGGTAAAGGTAAAGGTAGTCCATTGACATGAATGTCTAGTGGTGTCCGACTATAGGGGGCAGTGCTCATCTCTGTTCCTAAGTCAAAGAGCCAATGTTGTCCGAAGATGACTCTGGTGGTCATTTGGCCAGCATGGCTGCACTGAATGCTGTTACCTTCCCACTGAAGTGATACCTATTTATCAACTTGCATTTGCATGCTTTCGAACTGCTTGGTTGGCAGAAGCTGGGACTAGTGATGGGAGCTCACCTCATCATGCAGCATCTGGGCCTTGAACTGCCAACCTTCAGATCTTCCAATCATCAGAACTGGTGCCTTAACCACTAAGCCACTGCATCCCTGGCTTTTACTAAGAATAAAACATAAAGGTTTCCCCTTTGATGTCATTGCCAAGTCTTGTCCAACTGTAGAGGGTGGTGCTCATCTCCGTTACTAAGCAAAAGACGTCAAAGATGACTCCGTGGTCATGTGGCCTGCTGTTACATACAGCTTTTAAAATACATAAATAAGAATACATAAAATGCATAAATGCATACAGCTTTTAAATGAGGAACATGACTTCTTCCAACACAAGAGAGTTTTGAACTAAGTGGGAGATGGGATGCCTCTCACCATCATTTCATCATGTGTTGAACCACCTCCTTGGTCGATGCACTTCCAGTGTGTGTAAGTATGTAAATCAATTCTAAGGTCTACAGAATTAATGCAGTTTGACACCGCTTTAACTGCCATGGACGTTTTCAC